CCCCAAAACCCCAAAACCCCAAAACCCCAAAACCCCATAAGGAAACCCTGTGGTTGAATTAATACAGTTATTAATTTTATACTTTAGTTATAATCCTCTATGATCTTTGTAAAGAATAAGCGATCCAAGAAAGCAGACTATATGTTACTGAAACCCACAGATAGGCTCATTGACGAAGCCACTTCTGGGAAGCAAGAAGCCACTTCTGGTAAGCAAGCAATATTATGAAGTCCTTATACTCAATAAAATAGATACCTCTTAAAATCATCTTTTGTAATGATACAATTTTAAATGAGTTCCTTTGGGAAGAAAAGCTATAAAATTCTTGCGATTATTAAATTAATTGCCTAATTATTTTTTAGAGCCAAAAAGAAGAACTGTCAAGACTCTTCCTCCTTTAAATAAAGTTTGTATGTGTCATCACAAATTGGAAAATTTTAAGAAAAACTATTGCTGATGTAACCATGACTTCTCAGAAAGATTCTTTAATCAAAATGGAGCTCAGTTTGTTCAACACTCTTCTTATATGTTTTCAAACTCAAATTCAGAGAATTTGCTGAATAAGCAATCATCAGACTTTCATTACTCTTTAAATTGAATGGCAAGTCCTTTTAATTTTATGGAATATAATAAAAAGATGCCAAGTATGCAAATAAATGCACAAGATTTTCACAAAAAATGTATTTTACCCATCCTGAATTCTCAACCTCCAGACACAAAACGACCAGCTGAACGCACAGAATCCCTCCAAAATCGTCCTCGAAGACCAGCAACTAAATTCCTATGCTCTTTTCCAAACTGTGTAAAATTGTTCAATACTCTCACTGCTAAGGACAAGCATCTCAGGTACCACTACAAAGAACGTTCGTACTACTGTCATCTTTGCCCAAAGAGCTACACTCAAAGCAACAATTTAGTAAAGCACATGAGGAAGCACAGGACTCCTGCCATCGAGCTCAGGAGAATCCACAACTGCGAGTTTTGTAGTAAGAGTTATACGGAGAAGTATAACCTCAAGGTAAGATATGATAGTTATAATTTTTCTTGATTAGAGTGACTTTTGATGGGTGGTTAATATCCTAGCCCATTTTACTGTTTGAATATTATGTAATATTTTTATAGATCCATGAGAGGAAAGCTCACCCAATTGAGTATGAAAGAAAGTACAACATCCGGAGTGGCATATCATAATTCCTCTTAAAATTTCAAAACTTAAAGAATTTCAGGGATAAATTAGCTAGCTATCACATTAGTGTTTTTCATCTATGTCTTTGAGAATGTGGTGCCTTATAATTCTCAGTTTGGCTAATAAGACGTCCAGCTAGTCTTCAGCTCTCTGTTTCATCGCAACTTCTAAAATTGAAGCTATAATTTTGCCTTGAATTATGACCAAACTCTATTTGTCGGCCGAACGTTCGGATAGTTACCAAACTTCTATTCGGACCATCACAGACAGTTATAATTTAATCTAATCTGATAATTAATGTCAGAAATTATGAAGATTTTGATAAACCTGTTTTATGGCAAAACTTAAAATCATAAATAATTCTGCATGCGTGTTAGCCATATCCCAATGCTAGGGACCTAATCACTATAGTTCTTGGGAGTTCTTTTTATTAAGAAGGAATGATCAGTGGGCTATGAATTCACAAATTATGAATCATGGACTGTATTGACAAGTTACATAATAAGCCTTAAGGATCTCTTTACCAATTTTAGGGTGACTATCAATCCGAAGAAAGTCATGGAGTTTAGGAGGGTACGTTTATTCATAATATTTTTAAGTCAACATTGTTTGAGATAGAGATAATAACTAGCCCACTTAATTAGGATTCCAATTTGGATTACAAGTGAGTTTGGATAATTTTATTGTAATTTTGAGCCCATCTGTCCTTCTTTTCGAGAGAAAGTATTAAAATATGTGTTTAGTTAAAAATTTAGTATGAGTCTATGGGTTTCTTTGCAGGATTGGTCTTAATCTGGAGCAAAAGAACAGAATAGTAAATTAGCAATATTTTATCCAAAAGTTGAGATTTGAGTGGTATTATTTTGATAATAATAAAAAGAAGTTTTGAAATCAAAAATTTGAGAGATTTCTTTGGTATCCTTTAATACAGCTCCAATCAGGTTATTAATTAATAATCTCTCTAACTGACAGAAATTTAATCAAGAGAGAAACACTTTTAAGGTATTAAATAATAAGCCTCCAAATGAGATAAATTTGTCATTTAGCCTATTAAAAATTAAGCAAAAAGTCAGAGACCCTACAACCCTCTCCAACAATGCATTTCAATAATTAGAGGATATCTTATTTCGATAAACAGAAAATAACCTGATTACTAAGAGCCCCTTATCAAACTTTGAATTTCTGATTTATTTCTTAACCTCTGATACTAAACTATTAAACTAAAAATCCTTCCAGAGTACGGCCACCTTACAAAATCACTCCATTAAACCCCACACCAAACCCCACCACCAACTCTTTAACACCTTCCACACCACCTCTCCACCCCCACATCACCTTCCTCCCCCAGGCCCACCTCGTCCCTCATCTAACCCCCTAGTCCTACCATCCCCCTCCTCTCTTACCCTTCCTTCCCCCTCCCCTCTTCCCTATTCCCTCTAATCTTCCTCAAAACCTCACCTAGCCCACCTCCGCAGCCAATTCCTGCTGTTCGGTCTCTTCTCCAGTAAACTTTTCCTCTAGAATCTCTACTTGTGTTATAGTGGGGATCTGAAACTTGGTAGTACTTAGAAGTGCTGTGAGAGAGATTGTAGTTGAAATTTGGGAGTTTTGGGGGAGAGGAAGGGGAGGTTGGGGATGGAGTGGGTGGGGGGAGGATGGGGTTTAGGGGATTTTTGAGTTGTGGTGTGGGGGATTATGGGGTGGAATAGGTTGATTTAGCTTTTTCTTTGTATAAAATCTGGAGTAGGAAGGATAGAGAGTGATGTTTATATGATGCAATAAATGCACAAAATGGCATAATTTGAGGATGAATTTTCTACCAAATTGTTGAAATATTATCAGATCTTTACTTAATAATTTTCGTCCTAGCCACCTTTTATCCAAAATCTTCACTTAAGATCGCCAAAATAACAGAAGACACAGTAATTTCCTACAACATACAAAATCGCTCCCAACTGCACAAAATTTACTGAAAAACCCTATCACCTCACATACTAACACCAACTTCAACTAAATAACATTACCATGGGGTTTTGGGGTTTTGGGGTTTTGGGG